GGAGGCGGGACCGGGCACGGCGGGCGTTCGTAAGTTCCTTCCCCCCGCGGCGGTGAGGCCGCGGCCCGGGCTGGGGGCGGGCGGCGCCGGGGCGCGGCTGCCTCGCTGTCTCTCCGCCTCCGGAGCCGGCTGGCGGCGCGGGGCCGGGAAGCAGGAGGCGGAGGGGTGGCGGCTCCCGGCGGGGTGGGCGCCTCCACCGGCCCGCACTTGGCGAGCCCGAGGGGTCCTGCTGCCGCAGGAACTCCGTGCCTGCGAGGCCGCTCGCTCGCCCTGTCACGTTCAAGCTGGTCCCGCAGCGCGGGCGAGGTGGCGGGGAGGGCTCGGCGGCGTTCCCCGGGCCGCCGAGGTGTGTGCGGGGCCCGCTCGGCTCCCGCCGCCGGAGCCCGGGAGCGGCGGTGCGGGGCCTATGGCGCTTGGCCGGCGGCGCTGGGTGAGCTCGAGCCAGCACGGCCACCCGGGCCCAGGGCTGTCACCCCCGCGAGTGCGGAAACTGCGAGAGGGCGCGACTGCACTTGGCACTTGTAGTGTTACAATAAAGATCTGCAGAAGGGCCGCGTGTGACAGGTTCCTACGAGTCACGAAGGTTACTTGTGCTGCTCACGCTTTTTTGAGTGGTGGCATAGAGCGTGCCTTGTGTGAGGGGTGGCACTGGTGCCTGCAGGGTTGGTGGCGCTGGGCCGTGGCAGCTTTGGCTCCTGTGCGGTCCCTGGCAGCGGGAGGCAGAGCTGTGCGCCGAGCTCTGGGCTCCGAGACCTGAGCGATGTTTCATAACTTGCTGCTGCTTCCATAAAAGTACAAATACGATGCGCAGTCCTCTCGGGCTCCGTACGGTTTGGAAGGAGTTTTTTCCTGTTCCTGCAGAAATGGATAGAGTAAATGGGTGTAGTGTTGTGTATAACTTATCGAAGCCTGTCGGCTTGTGGATTCATTGGAACTTTTAATAATGACATAAGGAACATATCCCAGGTTCCCGAGTGGTCAGATGTGTCTGGCATAGATAATATGAGGAGGGAAGCATTTTGAAGCAGCGTAAGAGAGTTTTCAAAAGACTGCAAATGTCTGCAGTGTGGCAGATTTGAAGCAATATGAAAYCCTAGCTTGTTTCAATTTATTTTGCCCAAAAGTCATGCTTTATTGAAAGATTTACTTAGTTCTATGCCTGAATTAAAATTAATGTGGTACGTCTTGTGCTCAATTCCTTTCTTCTCCAAGTTAACTCTAGTTGAAGCTTTTTTTGTGTGTTGAAGTCTCAGTCAACAGCCTAGCCCTTAAATGCCGTGTTAAGCTAATTATGGTCTTGAATTTGCTTGTACTGATTTATTTGATCCTGATTAAAAGTGGTTTCTTATGTTATTATTCCTTAATAAAAGGCAAAGAGGGGCATAACATAGGGGAAACACACAGCTGCCTTAATTTGTGTGCAGTTTTTTTTTCCCACAGAACTATTCAGCAGCCAAAATATTGAGCTGTTGTTCTTTTGTTTTTCTTTTTTTTTTTTTTCCAATCGCCTTAGCTTGTTAATTTTAGTAATAGTTTAAGTTAATATTTTTCCAAGTTATTTTTATGTAAAGCAAAATACATATATTTCAGGGAAGAGTGCCTATTTTTTTCTGCTGCTGCAGCTAGAAGAATTGGATTTTTTCCTATTTAGAATTTGTCAAAAGTCAGAAAGGGAAAGGAAGGAATAAAGCTTATGACAGGTTATATGTTTAAAATATTTTCTTTAATGGTCTAATGTTCTTAGTATTTAATTATGAAAATATTCTTGGGTAATGATAACTGGAGGATCAGAAGAAAACCAGTGCTGTGGTATGGTTCAGATGTTTTTAGCTTTTGGGCAGGGTCTTAAAGAAATGTGTGKTGACTAAAGTTGTAATTGAAACGATTTTCAAAGCATTTCATGAAGAAAATAGCTAGTTTCCTGCAAAACTAGCTATGTTTCCTACATCTCATTTGTGAGGGAGGCTATCAGAACTAGCAATGATGGGAAGAGGATATGATAAGATATTTCTGACTTTCTCACATGAAGCCTTAGAAATTTGTAGTGATTGTCATACATATGTTTTTGATATACAGGTTCAAGGATTATGTTGGCCTAGGTGGAAGGAGTGTTCTTCATCAGTGACTTGGACTGTTTCAAGCATTTTTATGTGCACAGGTAAAACATTTATAGAAGTAGTTTAATGTTTTAAATGTCTGTATGAAACTGGTGATGGTTTTATGTATCTGTTTGTACTTAAAGAGGTAGACGGTGTCRGGTCAAAGTGAAATGGCCAAGTGTTGAATGTAGAACTTTGATTGGAAGATGACTGAAAGTATTACTGCAGTTGCAATTAAAGGAACTTTGGAGTTTTAAAAGTGCATGGTAGAATCAGAAATGTGTGCACTTTTATCAGTTAGTTTAGCAATATTTATCCAAATATTAATTTTTGTAATCTCTAGGCCTGTTRATGCCTCAGAGAAGATGCTGTTGTATTGTGGGTAAACATGTTTTAATAGAATTCTTTAGGAATTTACCACTTCCTAAACTTTTATCTCTTTTATTAAAAAAGATTTTCTGCCCTTTTCTAAATACATTTCTTGGGATATTGGAACTTCCTTTTGTTTTTGTTTGTTTTTTATTTCCTTGAAACAGGAGCTAAGATGGATGAAATGTTTCATTGGCCATAGCATCAGCAGGATGTATAAGGTGGGTATRTTGAAAGATTACAGTTAATATCCTTGCAGAGTATTTTAGATTTTAATTCTGTGTCTATCTGAACACAAAGACAGTTTTTGCCTCTGTGTTTGAATTGCTGATTATTTAATTTTAAATTCTTTAAGGTCATAGAGGGTATACTCCAGTGAAGCTWATTGTTTTCATAATTTCCAGAAGASATATTAGGGATTCAGCAGCAGGAAAATATGTTTTGATGGTCATCCTTCTTTGCAGTCAAGGCAAGATGTTGACCTTATTTGCTTAATGCTTCATGTTGGCATTTTAATTCACTAGAGAGATCCAGAACATGCTTTTGCTTAAAAACATTTTTTTAAAAACAAATTTAAAATGTGAATGTGTATTTTTACAAGACTAACATTGGCAAATAAGAGAACAGTGATTCTTGAGTAATAACTGAATCCTTTCTCATGCTGCATACTTGCATGTTGTTATCAAAGTGAATTGCAGATTTCTTCACAATGTAATCACCATTAAATTATATGACATAGATTTTTTTTTTTTTCTAATTTCAAAAGTAAAAAGTGATTTAAAAAGAATTTCATTCTTTCTTGTTCTGGTGTAACAATGATTCTTACTACCAGCTTAAAAGGGCATTTGGATAATGCTGTTGTCTTTGTATTGYATCTGCTCTATCACTGTTGGTCTTGTCACCTCATGAAAACACAGAACACTGGGTAGAAATCATCCTATTCCAATATCACAAAGTGTGATATTTGCTAATTGTGTCTTTGACTTACTGTATTATAGTACTGTATTTGCTGTTATTRGTTTGTTCTTAATTGACTGATTAAACTTAGTGTCAATAGTATTCAAGCATTACTTTTTTTTAAAGGACTGATTTATAGAGTAATTGAATCKTGTAGGAAATGTTAACGTGGTTTGTGTAGCAATACATTGTAATCTGATAATTCTCCCAATCAATACCAAGTGTGTAATCAAAACACCATAAGCCTAACTGTGGTAGATCTGTACTGTGTATTGAGCAAGGTTGCAAAAGGGCATAAATTAAGGAGAGACTATTTTTGGTTTGTCACATTAGTCTTTTACCATTTTAGGAAAGATTGTTCTAATCTTTSGTTCTTTCTTGCATCTTGTTGAGGGCCATAGCGTCCCGAAAGCCTTGAAGGCTGGCTGGTGTCCTCATACCAGAGCAGGCTTAGTAGTGGGCTGTCAGTACACCTTGAATTGTTGCACAAAAGGAAAGGAAAGAATGTAATCAGTAGCTCAGTGCTTCTTTCAGAATTGTAATGCCTTCTGGTCCCTTCATTTGTGGTTAAGCTTTTATTTTTTGCAGAATGATGGGATTTTTTTTTTTCATGGAATTATATAAAGATGATGGAGTATTGAATTTGCATTTTTTTTTAAGTGTCACTTTTATCGGCAGCTATAGGATGTTAATTTCTGTGTATGTGTTGTGTCGTTTCATTCTGTGGCTTAGCTCTTTATTGTTTTTCAGAAAGTCTAAACCCAAGATTGTTGGTTTAGAAAAAGTCTCATAGCTARTGCCAAGAAGAGGTCATATGATGAGCTTCAGGGCTGGACTGTCTCAGSCCTGCTGAAGATCCTCTGTCACAGCAAGTCACTGGGGAGGCAGGACTATGCTTGTGGCTCACTTGGGTATTTGCCAGGGGGGAGCAGGTGCTAAAGAGATGGAAAAGCAGCTTGGAAAGTTTGTTTGATAGGTAAAGGAGTTGTGGGGGAAAGAAATTRCTGGCAGACTTACCAGGATCTATCACTGAAATAGGTCTGGGGTTTTAGGTTAGTTGTAAGTTACAGTTCCAGGGAGAATTTTTGCTGTTCAAGTTTGGGTGGCAGAGCAGCCAGAGCTATGTTTCTATTCTCAGTCTTCTTCATGAAGCCTTACATTACCAGTAACTGAATACTGAAATGTGTGTAGGAAGTATTTAGTGGTTTTATGTGACCCCAAAGCAGAAATCAAACCAAAAAATAACCCTCAAAGGTGCATCGTTTTAATTTTTGGTGCATTGTTTAGCTTTTGTATGAGACCATTGCAAGGGAGACTATCTCTTCTTCAAAGGATCTTTCCCTTGGGCTAGCACTATGAAAATGATTATGGTGACAAATTGCAGTTTAGACAGATGTAATTTCTGTTTAATGTGTGCGCTTCTTTGCCAGTTCACTTTTCTTACGTGTAAATGTTTGTGGTTATTTGGAATGAACGGTAAAAAATAAGGATTTTACAAAAATATGAGTAATTTTTTATAGTCTTGAGCATACTTCAGTCTTCTGCTGAACTTAATTTTGGTGGATTTTTTGGCCCTGRCTGGTTCACCTCCCTAAATGAGATTACAGTCTGCTGATTGTGAGTGTGTGTAATGTCAGATTTTGTATTAGGCTGCCCTTTCAGAGAAAGCTATATACACCAAGACRTGAGGGTCTGATTGTTCTTGTTCTTCTTCATCTCAATCAAAATGGAACTACTGGTGAAGAAATGAGGTAGATCCATGCTTTTAGGAAGTGGGGCAGTAAAGTTCAACTATCCAACATTGGTCTCTGCTAATTATGTGCGCTGTCCTAAAGATAAAACTATATGAACCCCTAAAATGCTGTTAGGGAATCAAGGAGGATCAGTCTATGGAAACCTGCATAGTCCTGTTGAGTATGTAAGTGTAGTACTTTGTGTGTGATGAATCAAGCACTTAGAAGTTAGCAGCCTAGTAGTAAAATAACATGGATGTTCAGTGGGTTACATTGCATTTGTCATCAACAGATTTTGAGGCTTTACTGAAGGAGGAACACAAGTCAGTATTGGATTTAGAAAGAAAGAACTGTTCTATATTACAGGATTGAAACAGAGACCACCCAAATGCCTTCAGCTGGTTTTTGTTATTCTCACAAATAGTTTGCTCTTTTAGCAGAGTGTTCAAGAACAGTGAGTGGGGTCAATCACTCTATTATGTTTTTCCCTAAACAGCAATGTTAAGTAAACTTTACAATGCTATTTGTCATTGAGAAAAAAGGAGTCTTATAGATTCTCTTGTTGTTTTAGCTTCCAGAGAAAAATAATGATAGGCAGTTGTGATTTCAAATCTTCAAATGCACTGTGTTCTTGGAAACCTTTTTCTAGTTTTGGCTGGATTGTAGCTCTGAAGGGCCAATATAGTATCTACTATATTTTATGGTATTTAGTAAGTTAGTTCTGAGTTGTTATATATGTTCCATAGTTCTGGTAGAATAAGTAGGATGCAGAATATTCTTGTCCTCTGTATATATAATATGAGTTACCTTTTTTATTACAGTCCTAATTTTTCAAAGGGCAGGTCTGCTGTGGTTTTTTTACTGATTTGCTCTTGTGCCAAGGCATACTTGATGCCTCATTGAAGACCTAGAGGCAAAATGTTCTGGGCAATATCTTTGCATAGTGTGTGTTTTTGTTCTCTAAACCAGTGATTTTCCTTTTGGGGAGATACTCTGATTGGCATATGACAAAGATTTGCAGACTGTAATGAGTGAGATACAGGGAAGAAATTATGCTCAATTATGAAGGACAAAAGAGCAAAGACTACCTGACCCCAAATGATGTCTTGACATGGTAGTAATGCCACATACTCAAGAATGTGTTAAGAATCTTGTTTCTGAGAGTTCTCTTAATACTGATACCTGTGTTTGTGCTTGCWATCAAAGTGGACAAAGTGTGATGGAGAATAAAATGKCATGGTAAAAATCAATGTCTTACTKTCATATAGTGTGCCATCAGAGTGGATGTGGTGCTGGATGCCTTTGAGAAGGATGTAGAGAAGAAGGGAATCAGAGAAGAGTCTGAAAGAGGAATCTGTGGAGATGGAAATCTGCTTTTATAAAGAGAAATTGGAAAAAAAAAAGAGATTGTTTAGCCTTTGAAAGGCAGTGAATATGGTGAAGTATAACACAAGTACACAGAATGATGAGTTGTTTGAGAGAAGTAACTAAATAACTTTTGTTTTGTTGGTTCATGCTGAAAGAGTAAGGGGACCTTCTGTGAAATTAGGATGAGAAACGAAACTTGAGGAGAAAGGATTTATTTCTTAATAAACTGATAAGACAGTGTGCTCTGCAGTCTAGCGACAATTTTCATTTAGAAAAATTCTAATAGAAATTACATGAGTTAGAGTGCAAGAATATTTACTCAGGTTCAGGTTACYTTTTCTCCTGAAAGAATATAATCCSTCAGCTTTTTGTCACTTCCAAAATTATTTTTTCCATCATGATTTTTAATGAAGCTCATCTAAAAACCATGTATTGCTAGGTAAAGGAATTAAGTCTATCCCTAGATAGACTTGTTTGTTTATGGGAGAAGTAGTTACAGCATCTTACTAATTTGTTTGCTCTCTYTCCCTGTATTGGGTTATATCTAGGYGAGATTCCCAGTAGGTAATATGTCTAGTTCACTTGGTAGGATCCACTGATTTACTTCRTTTTTCTTATAGGTGGGGACATTGGAGAAGAGGTTTTGGGGATTAACATCAGGGTCCTCATCAGATTGGAAAGAATTCACATAGCCAGTTGTTTTTGTGACTGCCACTAGTGAGAGACTGTTCTGTTCAGCTTTGATTTTTCTATTGCCTGGGCTCATGCATTAAGTTGGTGTTCCTGCAGTAATTTAATTCAAGTCAGTACACAARTTTCTTCTGTACCTAGAGTGATGGAATATTTTGGGAGGATGGAATGAGCTAACGCTGGCCTTCTGTGTMACCCTGCCAACTCCCAGCAAGTATGTAAAAAGTCATAAAAATAGCAGTGGGGGTATCTTAATTAAATGAGCATGCTTGTCGCTTTGCCAGTCTTCTCTCTTGGCATGGTTCAAGTCCTAGAAATTGTTCGCTTTCAGTCTCTGTTAAACTCAAATATAAAACTCTGTGATAAAAGCATCAGAAGCAGTGTTCAGCGGGAAAAGACTACAGAATCGGGTTTTGCTCGTTCCCACTGAAATATCCTTTCCTCTCTGTGTAATGGAAGCTGCAGTTTTTACT